AACAGTGACCAATTTATTTTCTACACCAATACAGTCAATTATGACACGACGTTGTGTAACGATGTTTACCAGCTTCGTGAATTAAAAACAATGGTGACTGAAATTGGATTATAAACTTGCTACTTATTACAGTAAGACGATAAACTGCTAGATGGATGGCGAAATCAAACAATTGCAGCCATACATTTAATATTAATATACGAAAATTAGATATAGTTAATTAAATTATCTATTAGAACAACCAGTCGTTGAAGGACGAAGTTGTAAAGACGGTTGCAAATAACGAAGCAGAATAATGAAACGAATACATGCCTACATGAACAGACATGATATCTGTGCATTCGCTTAATCACAGTCAATCGTTAAAAGCAAAAAATAAGCAGAAAGAATAAGAATAAATTAAAAGGTGTGAACTTAAATTATAAACAGAATATTTACCGTTCTTTAAGAAACTGATTCAAAGCAACTTCTCCTTATGAATGCAAGTTTAATCTTTATACAGGGCAGAAGTCCGGACGACAACAATCTATAAAATAACATCAAAAGACTTTCTGAACATACTCTGAAAGTTTCACAAAGATAAAGAATTTTAGATGCTACAACACTAAAACAAAGCCATAAAATAAAAGATGACAAAAAATCAAGAAACAAGCAAATGCTGAATAAACAGATAGTACAGAATTGCGTGTAACTCATCCATCTGCCAGATTTCACGGCATTGAATCGTCCTTTGCCAATAAATGCATAACGGACCGTTCAAGCAGACCAAGCTCCAATTTATTTGAGAACCTGTCATACTAAATGCATCTAGAATCATTTCATTCGCTCGATCTCATCAAGAACGATGTTCCAGGAGCAGGCAATATTTATGCGCTACAGTATAAATAAATATGATTTTGCATCCCGATCACTGTTACTACGCATTTAGGTAGTCTAAAACCACTGCTATCAGATACCTCGGTAGCGTTCGAACAGTTCGCTGTCATATGGTAATAGAGCAAACGCAGTCTTAGATGCGCCTCATCATTTCTTTCGCTAAAATGACTTTTTGAGAATCATGAACGATATCTTATAAACCAAAAGCCTCATATTTCTTTCTGTTTCATTTTTTGACTGACCAATATTCAGCAGTCTCATGGAAGTGCCGAACACCACACATCTACCATTCTTCTTTAATTCACCCCATCTTCTGTTACTATGGCTCTTGTAAGCAACAGATTGAAATGTTCCATATTGCCGGATGGCGATACAGTGTCACCATGTGTTTCCGCGAGTACTACTCGACGACAGTAGCTGTTCATCGGTGGTCAGTGAACGTATCCAATCTATCGCATTTTGCTCTCTACTTTCAACGATATCATTCACTCTGGTTTGTTGTCTGATGCTTTCGCAAAAGATAAAACTCCGGATTGTGTTGGCAGATACTTCACTCTAACAAAGCTGAATTTCACGACTTATTACGTCGTCCATTCCGCTTTGATGTCTATGGGGACATTTAAGGTGAAAGCAACCTGGTATTCAGCTCTTGCAATAGGCGTGAATATGGCGAGCGATGGATGGTGCAATACTCCACACTATCAGCTTTGGGGCGTTTAAACACAAGATGATCGTGAGGATGAACATCGAGAGTTAAACATTTACATGACTCGAAAAGGAGGGAAGATACATTATACGAATAAAATGCTCAGGCGTATCGCTGCTTTGAATTTGCGCAATGTTAATCCCACTTTCCATCTGCTTCTAGAAATATACGATACCTTGAATATGTGCTGAACAAC